CGGGCGCGCCTGCCGCCCCCGCCTCGGGCGGAGGGGCAGCGTTTTGAGGAGGGGTCGGGCTCTTCCCCTCCCTGAGGCCGGAGGTTCTTTGGGGGTGGTTCCCAGACCCCCTCGAGTCATGACAAAATCACGGCGCGAAGTTTTTCGCTATGTTCGGCCTCCGGGGGCCCTTGTACCGGCCCTCAGGACCGTCAAAACGCGACTCAGGATGAAAAGCCGGTCCCGGGGAATGGGTCCGGGGACTTCTGGGGGTCGCGTCGTGAAAAAAGCATGGCGTCGGAGGTCTGGGTTCGCGTGCGATGTTTCTCCCCCAATCCCCGAGTTTCGCCCGAAAAGTCTGGCCGCTCAGAAGAATGGGAAAACCCTGGGATACACCCCAAGGGGGCTATTCGGACGCACCCCTATCGAGAATGGACACCCCCCCATCGTATATCCCAGGGTTAGGCCCCAAATTTCTGGTCCATTCGGAAACCCCACGAAGCCTGGGATAGGGGTCGACATATCCCCTGTTATGGGTTTCGACCGCTCGCCGCGGTGCTCTTGGCCCCGGGGGCTGTTGTGCAGCAGCGGTGCCTCGCCGAGCTAGGGGGGTCCGAGGGTGCCCGGGGCCGTCCCCGACGATCCCGGGGCTCGGAGAGCCGAGCCGTGGCCCGGAGACGGGTGGGGCAACATCTGGGGAGACAGATAGGCTCAGGGGCCTCCTCCTCCTCCTCCTCCTCCTCCTCTCCGCCCTCCTCCTCCTCCTCTCCTCTCCTTCCTCCTCCTCCTCCTCCTCCTCCTCCTCCTCCTCCTACTCCTCCTCCTCCTCCTCCTCCCCCCCCCCCTCCCTCCTCCTCCTCCCTCCTCCCTCCTCCTCCTCCTCCCTGCCTCCCTCCTCCTCCTCCTCCTCCTCCTCCTCCTCCTCCTCCTCCTTCTCCTCCTCCTCCTCCTCCTCCTCCTCCTCCTCCTCCTCCTCTAGGCTCAGGGGGGGGAGGCATCGGCCCCCGATCGCCCAGTGATCGCCGAGGGGGGGCCGATGGCCCACCTCGCCTCGCCTGGCGACGGGGCGGAGTCGATGCCCGGGGGGCCTCCAGCTGGCACCAGGCTGAAGAGCAGGCCTTGGCATGGGAGAGGTGTGCCGTCATGTCAGCGGCGCGCCAGGGGGGGAAGGGAGAGGAGGCGGGCCTTCGTCGGGGAAGGCTCGGAAGTCCTGTGGCCTTCTGAGAAGTTGCGTGAGCCTTCCCCGAAGACGCAGGACACTCGTCAGAAGGCTCGAGGGCTTCTGAGAGGCCCCGCCGCCTTCTGAGAGGGCCTTCCCCGTCCCGCTTCCCTTCCTCGCTCGCCGCCGCTTGTGTCATTTGTGTCTGGCTCCCCTGCCTGGAATGGTCCTGGCTTGGGGCATCTCCGTGGGGCATCGGGCCCTGGGCGAAGTGGCTCGTGCTCGTCCTCCTCCTCCTCCTCTCCTCCTCCTCCCCCCCCCCCTCCTCCCCCTCCTCCTCTCCCTCCTCCTCCACCTCCTCCTCCCTCCACCTCCTCCTCCTCCTCCTCCTCCTCCCCTCCTCCTCTTCCTCCTCCTCCTCTCCTCTTTTCCTCCTCCTTTCCTCTTTTCCTTCTCTCCCCCCCTCCCTCCCTCCTCCTCCCTCCCTCTCCTATTCCTCCTCCTCCTCCTCCTTCCCTCCTCCTTCTCCCCTTCGTTTTCTCCTCCTACTATCTACTACTCCTACTTCCTACTCGTACTCGTACTCCTCCTCCTCCTCTCTCCTCCTCGTCTCTCCTCCTCCTCCTCCTCCTCCTCCTCCTCCTGCTTCTCCTGCTTCTCCTCCTCCTCCTGATCCTCCTCCTCCTGCTGCCTGCTTCTCCCTCCTCTCCTCCGCATCCTCCCCCTCCTCCTTTCTCCTCCTCCTCCTCCTCCTCCTCCTCCTCCTCCTCCTCCTCCCCCCATCCTACCCTCCTCCTCTTTCCTTCCTCCCCTCCTCCCCCCCTCCCCCTCCTCCCCTCCTCCCCTCCTTCCCTCCTTCCCTCATCGTCCTCCACGTCCTTCTTCTCCTTCTCCGTCTCCTCCTCCTGCTTCTCCTCCTCCTCCTCCTCCTCCTCCTCTTCCTCCTCCTCCGCCTTCTATTCCTCCTCCTCCTCCGCCTCCTCCTTCTCCCGCTTGCCTCGAGAGTGTCGCCGATAGGTCGAAGATGCACGCCGATTACAGTTCGATGCTTCCCCCCTTATGCTGGTCGCCCCGTATCTCTGCTCCTGATGATGAAGAGGGAGGCCCCACCATGTTGGGCAGAGGCCACAGCGGAGAAGGAGGTCTTCAGCAAACGTGGACGAACAGGGGACAACGAGGAGGAGGAGGAGGAGGAGGAGGCCTCCTGGCACCTCCTGCTCAGCTTAGCCGCTTAGCCTGCATTCAGGCATTTTGCAGTGGCTGCCGCACGCGAGCGCTATAGACTTGCACCTGGAGTTGATGGGATGAGATGAGGTTAGATGAGATCAGATGAGCTGTGTTGAGATGAGGTGAGATGAGATGAGATGGGGCCAATCACGATGCGATCAAAAGCGCGGCTCGTCCCCCCCCCGGCCTCGTAGTCGTTCGCGAAGGAGGCTAGAAAGACGAGGATGAGGGGTTCCACGTAGCACCCTTTTGCTGCATCATGAAGAAGTCCCGAACGTCGAACATCACATCTGCTTGCAGTCGGCCCCCCACACCTGAAGTCGCGGAAGGTGCGTGACCGCCGCGAAGCCACGGAACAGCTCGCCCGCGTTGAGATCAGGCGCTCGCCCCCTGCTCGGGAAGCCGACCGCGCCCCCTGCCTTCGTGGCCACGTCCGCTGCACGCTCACGACGAGCCACGCCGAATCCGCCAGCACGAAGTGCTCCACCACGACCACGGGCTGCGGCAGCGACCGACGGAGGCAGCGGCGCAGCCACAGGCCTGCGACAGGGCAGCCGTCCCCCGCAGGGGCCCCCACGAGCGCCCGACGTCCCTGCAGCGGCAGCGCCCACGGCGCCCTCGGCAGGGAGGCCGCCCAGTGCGCGCCTGCGGCGGGGCAGCGATCCCCCTCGGCGGCCGCCTCCCGCACGTCGATGCACTCCAGCTGCTCCGCCGCCTCCGAGAAGTCGCACGAGGAACGGGCAACGAACGGACCCACACCAACAGCGAAGCCCTTGAGACACAGTAGCCGAGGCGGCCGTGGTGCCCTCGAGAGGCTCCCCAAACTCCAGCGGAGGGTGAGAACTCAGGCGCGTCCAGGTTCCAGCAGAACGACTCGTTGTCCGCCTGCGCCTTGGCAGCCGTGCCATAGCGCCGCGTCTCGAGCCTCCCCGCGTGCTTCTGGGCGTTGCTGAGCTCGGGCCCGAAGCCACGCCAAGCACGCACCCGGCATCCGGCGCCACGAGTTAGCACATGGAGCCAGGAAGTTGGGGCGCTTGAGCCTGCTTGAGCCAACATGCCTTGAGCCAATGTGGCTACGGAGGCTTGCACCGAGAGCCCGCTCGACGCAGAAGGGAAGCCAAAAAGGAGGATGAGGAAGAGGAGGAGGAGGAGGAGGAGGAGGAGGAGGAGGAGGAGAGGACCATGTCGGGGATCGACCCGTGACGTTCCCCCTGAGGCCCTCTCTGCGCCCTCAAGCTGGGCGCCTCCGGTCCCTCGGGCGGGTGCCCAGGGGCGCGGCGCTCGGGTGGGCGCTTCGAGCAGGGATCGGATCGTGTCGGACCAGCTATCCGCGAAGGCACGTCGCCGACGACGACGACGACGACGACGACGACGACGACGACGCCCGCGCCGCCGACGACGCCGACGCCGCCGCCGCCGCGTGAGCGACGCAGAACAACGGGGTCTTCTTCGCAGACGTTGGCGCGCGCAAGGTCGCGCGTAAGCGCCCTCGTTTCCAACCCGGCGTGCCGCGTTGGCGGCCCGTGCAAGCCGCCACGTCAGGTCGGGTCGCTATGTCACCTCGTTCAGGACACGATCCCAGGAGCCTTTGATTCTCACGTTTTCTGGCTTTGCTTCGCTCTCAGTGGTCGCCAGTGTCTTGCTGGCGCCACTGGAGGCCACAGGGGGCCACAGGAAGCCACTGGATGCCGCGTGGTGCTGCGCCTCAGTCATGAATTTGGGCGCAGCCTGCGTGCAGGCTGCGTGCCTCCCCCCCCCAGCACGCCGCTCCCCTCCTCCTCCTCCTCATCCCTTCTCCTTCTCCTCCTCCTCCTCCGCCTCCTCCTCCTCATCGCCAGGACTCGGGTTCGCCATCGTTGTTTGACGACTGCGCCTCGGATTTTGACGAGGAGGAGTTTCGTGGGATGTCTGCAGCGGGAGGCCTTGTCAAAATGCAGGCTCGGCCTCGTCATTTGTTTGACGACCTCGTCGGGGATTTCCGAGTCCCCTGTACCCGGGTCTTACGCCCCCCTGACTGTAGGGGCACATGCCCGACCTAAGCCTTGTCTTGTCGCCTCTGCACGGGGGGGAGGGCCGGTGCGGGGAGGCGTCCCCGGACCTCTACGTGTGCGGCCCCCTCCGGGCCTCGGAGATGCAGGCCATGCTGGCGGCGCACGAGCGGAGGCCCTCTGCGGGCACGCCCCCGCGGGAGGGAGAGGCGGGGCTCGTGTCGACTCCTGCGACCCGATACGAAGGATTGCAAACAAAAACGAAGGATTGCAAAAAAAAACAGGGTTTTGTTGCAATCCTTCGTTTTTGTTGCAATCCTTCGTGTTTTTTTTTTTTTTGAAATCCTTCGTTCAAGCGAGGGAGAGGCAGGGCTCATGTCGACTCCTCCGACCCGATGCGATTCCGGTTCCGATTCAGATTTGTCATGTCCTTTTGTCGAGGGCAGAAAAGACGTCCCTACCCTGGTTTACGAGGCGCTGTGCGCTGAAACTCTTGTGGGCTGACAGGGTAAACCCTGCGTGATGTGCCGCGTCTAGGCTTTGGGGGTTCCCAGGAGGTTTACAGACCACGCACTTACAGCCCAGGGTAGGGTCGTTTTTTCATCCCTCGATTTTGGGTTCCGATGGGGGGAATGTGTTTCTTCGCAGCAGCCATACTAGCCTGCCGACTCCCGCCGTGTCGACATCTCCCGTCTTGGCTGCCGATGTCCGCTGATCCGATTCATGTCGATCCGCGGATCCGACGTGTCGATTTGATCCGAGGCTCTCCTGGGAGGAAGCCCGGACATGCCCACCCGGTGAACAAAAGCATGACGGATGGTTCGCGGCCGCTCTCGGCTTCTAGAGGCTCGCGCTGGGCTCCCAGGCACGAGCTGCTCGGTAGATGAAACACCAGTCCTGGGGAAGGGGTCGGGACTTGCGGGGGGCCCGTATCAAAGAAAACAAGACCTCGGATGTCTGGGAGAGAGAACTGGAGGAGAAGGAGGAGGGGGGGCGGGAGGAGGGGGAAGAGTGGGAGGGGGAGGGGACGCGAAGGAGGAGGCGCTTGAGGAGGGGGAGGAAGGGAGTGCTCCTTCTGGAAAAAGCATGAGGCCAAAGACACTTGACTGTTGTTGTTGTTGTCGGCCATTCGCTGAGCTCGCCGCGGCGGCCGACGCACATGACAACCTGGAGAACAAGGAAGAGGACGATGAGGAGGGGGTGGGGAGGGAGAGGGACAGGTGAAGGAAGCGGAAATGGGGTCGCCCTCTGAAACATGTGCTCTCCTTCCTTATCCTCCTGCTCCTCCGCCTTCTCCTCCTCCTCCTCCTCCTCCTCCTCCTCCTCCTCCTCCTCCTCCTCCTCCCTCCTCCTCCTCCCCTCCCCTCCCCCTCCTCCTTCTCCCCCCCTCCTCCTCTCCCTCCTCCTCCGCCTCCCCCTCCTCCTCCTCCTCCTCGTCCTCCTCCTCCTCCTAGCCACGCAGGCTCAGTGCATGCGTCCGCTGTGGCCGCGTCGCGGCCCCGCGGCACCGCCAACCTTCGGCCAGCGTGGGCGGACGGGCCCGCCCGGCTGCCGCGCGGACCAGAGTGATGTGCACGTGGCGAGCGCGCATGACTGCGACTCGTTGTCTGGAACCCCCTCGCCAGCAGCAGGGAGGACAGACAGCTCGAGACCGCAGAAATGTCCTGGAACGCCGACGTCATCATAGCGCTTGGCACCCAAACCCAAAGGACGACGTGTATCGGTGGCGAGGTCCGCGTTCAGCTCATCAACAGATTCAGGGCCGCCCGTTTCGGTCACATGGAGAACAAGCCGTCCACTAAGTCGCGCGGGATATCCGTCCGGGTGCGCAACAACACCATCAGCGCCAATAGCATAGTCAGAACGTGCCGCGGTGTGCCAGGCCAACGAGGTATATATGCCAGGTCCTGAGCAGCATTCCCGCGAAACCAATGCCCATTACGGCCACGGGCGCCAACGACGGAATAGGATCGGTGCGAGAAGGAGGACAGCTGCACCACATCGTGTCGACACCACTGGGTGAGTACGGACAGCCCGAAGAGCACTACACAGGCAGAGCGGTGAGACAGATGTGCGAGAACCACGCCATGACGAGCGCGAACACAGTATTCCAAAGGGACCCAGGCTACCACGGCGACGAAAATCTGGTTAGTTGGATTGACCACGCGTGCGTCCCCCACGATTGCATCGACAGGGCCACGAAGTTCACGCAGGCGTGTGAGCCGAACATCACATTGTAGGCGATACCAAACGACAGGCCGCGCGACCAAATCGCCAGCACTTCGGGGAAAACACGCAGCTATACCACATAACAGGAAGCTGTGCTCAGATGGGGCTACGTGGGCCTGGCTAGGGTGCTCGGATATATACGACGGAGGGAGAACGCAGGTGAGCGTCATACAGGCGCCGGGAACGACACTGCTTGTATCGACAAGCACAGAAACTCTCCTCGAGTACCAGGAGTGCGTGCAAGAACTGTTTTCTGTTAGAAGAGCCGAGCAAAGGCGGCCGTGAACGACGACATGGAGAGTCTACTACGTCTTCACAGAGCCACAAGCGTATGCATCGTAATGAGGTAAAGAGTACATGACGGGAGAGAAGGAGAGAGAGAGAGAGAGAATAAGAAAAAAAAGAAAAAAACAAACACAAACGACAACTAAGTGGGGAGCTGCAGCAGGAGACGCAAAGAGGAGAAGCACCATATTAATGGAGGGTATGCAGACTGCTGGCTGCGAGCGGAGTAGTGCTTAAGAGGAGAAGCTACAACAGACTACCCGACACGATGCCACTGGCCGCATACTTAAGAGAGGACCTGGCGCTATCACCACAGAAACGTGCAATGGTCACGCACGAGAAGGACTACAAAAACTGGCGGCAGGTGTGTGAGCGAACGGCACCTGGCTGCACCCCACCAGCGACGACATCACCAACGACGTCAATGACTACGACCGCATCGTGAAAAGACTGAGGTTTTCGAAGAGGCGGCGCGGCGCTGCCCGGCGACCTGCGCCCGCGGAGGCATCTGCGCTGCTGCAAATTGAGAGACCGACGCCGACATCGAAATCAGCCGGGCTGGGAGCATCTCCTCCAACACCTGGTGGCGGGCTTGTGGGATATCGGATATTGAAAGTTTTGGCCCAGATGCGACTGCTGCGAACGCTCGTCGCGGACAGGGGCGGATCGCGCGCGCGCCGGGCCCCCGGGCGCAAAGGAGACGCGATGACGGCGACGATGCGGCTCCTTCACGCCTCCGGCAAGACACGGGTCAAGGCTGCGGTCGAGACGCAGAGAGACGCCCCGACGCCTGCCACATTGAGATCAGGAGCCGCGCCGGAAACGGCCGCGTTGAGCTGGAGGTCCACTGAGAGCCCTTCGCCTTCGCCTTGAACCGCGGTGAACTGAAGGAAACGAACCGCGTTGAGTTGAAGGGCGCCTTCGCACGAGTGAACTGCGAGGCCCTCGACAAGGCGACGGACAGGATCCACGGGCGCGACGCGCGCGACATCCTGGAGAAGAGGCGCCGCGACGGACGCTTCCTGGTGGGCGCCCACAGACAGGCCGCCGCCATCGCGAGCGAGGCGGGGCGCTGCGCGGGCAACGCGAACGCGGCGACCCTCTTCCGGGAGGCCCCCCAGACTCCCATCGCGGACTGGACTGGAGCCATCGACGAGGTCAGGCCCCGCGAGCTCTTCGCGACGGGCCCCGTCTCAACGGAGCTCGCGGGCCTCTCGTTGCGGGCGCGCGCCGACGACGCGAGCGAGACTCGCGGGATGGCCCGCCCCGACGGCGCGGGGGAGCGCGCCGAGATGCCCGACTACAAGCTCGACGGGGGGCTGGCCAAACCAGGCGCCGCGCAGAGCGCCGCCCAGACCGGCGTCGCGCGGAGCTTCGCGGGGCCAGGAGGCGGCAGGCGCGCCGGGCCAGCATTCCACGGACAAACAAACGCACACCGACGGCCACGGTCATTACTTGCCCCCCTTCCTGGAAGCGTTTCGAGATGCATCCGGGAGATGCCATGCGATTTAGAGAGGATGGGTCCGCGCGTGGAAGTTCTGGCTATGAGGGCCGTTGTTGCCCCCAAGACCCGCCGTAAAAGTATCTATTTCCCGCGTCGTCGGCCCTGGCTTCGCGCCGCGCGCAGCCCCGTGCGTCGGCGGGCTTCGAGCTCCCTGAAGTTCCACCGCCGTCGTCGCCAGGGTCGCGCGAGCCCCCGAGCGGCCGGCGGCGTCGCCCCGAGGCAAGGCCGAGACAGGAGGCGGAACATCTGCACGAGAAGAAGCATTCGGGGCGCAGGGGTCGGGGCGCCGGCGGGGCCCGCGTCGGCTGCGCGGATGAAACGAGATACAAAGCAGGCGCTGGAACGGGAACGGGGGCACGGCGCGCTACGCATCGGGCGGAGACGCGCCGAACACGCGGCGGCGCCGCGCCCAGTTCAACGCAGCGTCTGCCGATGCAATGCGACGGCGCGGGTGCAAAATGCAATGCGATGCATGGGGCGCGGCCCGCCCCGTCCGCCGGCCCCGCGGGGGCGGGCGGGGGCGGGGGCAGGGGCGGGAAGGAGGGGGAATTGGGGGGATATAGCGGGCGGGGGGGCGAGCGCGCGCAGCGGGGGACCGAGCGAGAAAAGGTTACGAGCAGCCTGCGGTGGCTTGAGGTCGCAAGGGCACCCCCGACCGCGTCGCATTTGAATCAGGCGTCCCGCGAGGGGGTCGCGGAGCGGGTTTGAAGCTTGCGCCGCCAAGGCTCGCTGGGGGGGCGCGCGCGGGCGCAGGCTGGGGGGGGGTCCCAGACGACCCCAGCGGGGCTGCATTGGCGTGAACGACGCGAATTCATTCCCGAGTTTTCCAGCTGGCTGGAGGCGCGGCGGCAAACCGCATCGCGCGACATCAGGCCAGTTTCAGCAAACGCGCAGATCGCGCGTTGCGTTTGTAGCGTTGACCCCGCGGTTGCTGGCGCGGCATTGCCTGAACGGGCCGCAGATCGATGCGCGGAAGGAAACATTTGGGGTTTCGCAGCTTGGAAGGGGAACGGAGACAAACCTTGCGACAAAGTGATGACAAAGTGATGACAAAGTGGTGACAAAGTGATGACAAATAGGGTTGTCGCGCGTTTTTGTTGCGGACAAAGTGATGACAAAGTGGTGACAAAGTGATGACAAGTGGGGACAAATGGCGCCGCGCGTCGGGCCGTCGGAAAAAACGGCGGGCAAAAAACGGATTGCGCGCACAACTGCGCGCGGCGTTGATTTCATGCGCGCGCGAGCGAGTTTTTGTGCTCGCGCGAACGCGCGCGCTCGCCCGCGCGCGAGCCGCACGCGCTGCGGCGGAAGACGCGTCGCGACGGGGTATCTCGCGACCTCGGAATGGCTGCGGCGATGCCCCCGCCGTTTCGGCGAGTGAATTTCCCCCCGTTGATGAGCTTCACTCGCGCCGCGCCGTCGGGTCCACGAGTTCCCTTGGCGCTCAGGGCGCAGGTCGCCCAGGCCCAGGCCTCCCCCGTTTGCGCCCGCTTCCTTCGCCAATTTGCCCCGGCCCGCTGCGTTTCGTTTCATGCCACTGCCTATCGAGCGGGCTTGGGCTGAGTTTTCTCTCGTTGTCGCTTGTGGCATCGCTTGCATGGTTTATTCCCTCCTCGGCCCTCAATGCTCGGACCTCTTCCGCCTGGGAGGTCGCGACCAACCTGCCCGGCGCGGCGCGCGCGAAACGCTTTGTTCGCGGCGTCGAGGCCGCATTCGCGCGAACAACAAACATCGCGTCCCGACGTCGGGGGGTCAACTCGACATCGCGCGTGGCGTCATTTCGTTTTTCGGTTCTGATTTACCGCGCGGGGCCCGCCAGCGCCGCCGCGCGGCCGCGCGGCCGCGCGTCGCCGCGCGACAGCTGCGCAGATGCAGACGAAGTGCGTTTGTTTTGGCGCCGGCATCGGTTGCCCTTGCTCTGCTAGCCAGGCCGCGCGCGAGAGGCGCCGCAACGTCAGGCGCGTTTTTTTCAATTAATTGAAGGGTGATATTGCTTGCTTTCGACGCGGCGTTTGGTTGCCAAGGTGGCGCAAAATATGTTCGCCGAGCAGGCGTGGCAAAGTCGCTTGTCCGCGGCGCTATCTCGCGACGCCTGCGACCCCGAAAAGGAGTCTTGGGCCGTGCAGCGGCCTTCATAGTTCTGGCGCGCGCAAGAAATGGGCGCGCAAGCGCAGCGTCTCCCGCAGCACCGTCGTCGGCCCAGCGCTCTCTGGCCCGCGCGCATTTGCCCCGGCCAACGCGCAGGTGGACCGCCGGGACGTCGAGCGCAGATAGCATGGAAGGGCCCATGCCCGACGGAGCGGCGAAGCGAACGATCGGAGCCGACGGGGTCAAGATCATAATGACATCGAGGGGGCAGATGCGGCACTCACTGCGACCTGCCCATTCGGCAGGGGCTCGAAATATTGCGCCTGCGAGAATAGCAATTGGCGACGCGCAGCCCTGACCGACGCGCGCAGCAACTGGCGGCTGTATTCGGCGCGATGATGCACGAGGAGATCACGGTGCAGCAGCTTAGTTGGGCGGGCCAAGACGCGGGCGAACTCCGCGAACTACCCTCGACGCGACAGTTGCGACCAAACCGCGAACGATGCAGATTTTCGAAAACTACGATTGCACCAGGACCACCGCGCCAGGCCAGGAGCTCGGGAAAACGTTAGAGGAGATGGAGGAATATGTCGACGTTCTGACGTTCTGACAGCGTTCTGCATCAACGAAATAACGAGGGAGCAGACCATCTTAATCGACATGTCCGAGCTGACGGCGGAGTGGCTGCCCGAAGCGCCGGCGCCGATGGAGCTCGAGGCCGACGTCGACGAGGTCGCAGAAGGCGACCGCGCGCGCTGCCCGGATGGAGAGAGTGGCCTTGCTCGCGGCCGCCACTTTAAGATGAACGAGCGCTCCGCGCGCATCAGCTGCGCGCCTTGGGGGGCCAGCGCGAGAACTCGGGGATTCTGTCCAGGGTGATTATGACGAACCAGTGCATTTCACGCAGGTCGTCGTTTACAAATGGAGACGCTGCTCTGAGACATGTATCTATGGCGCGGCACTGCGGCAGCTGCAAAGTAAATCGGCAGCCCTTAAACTACGACACCACCCCCAGCCCCATCGCCCCATGCTCACGCCGCCCGCGGACACGTGCCCGGATGGGGGCGCGGCGAGGGTCATCTAGCCAGCCATCTCACTTAGTCGCTCCTTGCATTCCATTTCGATATTCCAAGCTGCACCTGCGACGATGGGCGGGGGGAAGCGGCGACGCGGCGAGGGGGGCGGCGGACGGCCGGCAGGGGGAGGCGCCGAGAAGCAGAAAAGCCGAGGCCGCGGAGCACGAGGCAACGGAGTCAAGAATAGGAAGATGCCGGGCGAGAGCGCCTTCGCATACCTAAGGACGCGATGCCGATCCAGGAGGTCCAACTGTTTGTCCATGTCACTGTGAGGATGCGGCTGAATGCGGGGGCGAGACAGCGCAAGACGGACCCCATGCTGCCGACGACGGTCTTCGCCCCAGTGGCGCCCCAGCCAGTCGCCAGGGCAAAGCGCAAGGCGCGCGCGCGGAAGACCAGCGCGCAGTAGCTGTGCGCGGAGGGGAAGAGACGACAGAATGAAGAAGAACGGCGAGATCCGCGGCCCGGCCACGGCCAGGATCATCGACGGGGTTGGAGACGGCGGGCGTCGGAGCAGGGCTGGCGAACATAGGTAACTGGAGGAAGCTGGCGCAGATCGAGGACCTCACTTTGGACGAGTGCGAGACCAGGCCCCCGCTTGTGAAAGCGGCGTCGGCGCGCGAGGATGCGCAGGCCAAGGTGGCGATGTGAGAGCCGGTGGACTCAGGGCTGCCCGCGAAGTACCTCGAGCAGCTGGGGGGCGATATCATGAGCGGCTTGGCGCCCGCGTCGTACATGAAGATGCTGCTCCACGCGAAGCTCGCGGCCATCGAGGTGATCTAGACTGCGCGCGGTCGCCAGCTGTGGCGTCGCTGGCCTTAGCGCGTCCCGCGACGTCGGGCGCCGCTGAGGGCTCTGGCCCTAGGCGGCGCGCGAGGTCCAGGGCGATTGCATCAGCGGGGCGCAGCGGTTTTGCTACGATGGCGACGGACGCACAGCGGCGACGTGAGACTGTTGCAGTACGTCTACTGCAGGCTGCCGCTTGTCCGGATGTTCCGTCGGGAGAGACCTTGCGAGTCTCGCGCGAGGATAGCGACAACCGCGGACCATGAGCCCGCCCATGGCCCCCCCAGCGCAGGGCCAGACCCCGCGCTGACCCCCGCGCACAGAGCCCCCAGCCCGTCCCCGCTCACTCTCTATGTCTGCGCGGGTAGTCATTCCCCCACCCCGGCTCCCACCTCCTCAATGCGTGCTAACTCCTCGCCGAAACGCCCAGACCCACTTCGTCCTTCGCAGCCTTCTTTCCCTAGGCGTTTCAGAGGAGCCTCGAGCGCGGTGCCCCCAGGGCAGCTCAGAGCACCGGGTTGGGAGTCGGCCGGTGCTCGAGCGATGGCATCATCATGTGGTTCTCGCAGGCAATAGACAGGGCCCCCGGAACCGTCAGTGTTTTTTTGGGGAGGCGGGTTCGCCCCGAAGTCTTCGGCTGCAAGGGCCGGTTCTAGCGCGCTAGTAGAAATTCAGACACGCATCATAGGGTTTGCTCGTTCGTTCGTTCCTCCTCGCGCCGCTGCCGCTGCTACCCGCTACCCCACCTCTTTTGGCCGCCTTGCTACCCCGGTGCCCTTGTGTTCTTCACCGCCCCGCTAACTCTCCAGCGCCAAAGTCCGCCCCATCATCAAAATTGCCCCATATCTGTGCTATCTGCTGTCCGCATTCCCCATCCAAGCTGCCCCTGTCCCTGTCTCTTGCTACACTGTGACTACCAAACCCTCCCTCAACGTTCCACTATCCCCAATCACCGACTGGTCGATCGGCTTAGCCATTTCGCCACATGGGTCCAGCATGGCTAGGTTTAATCGGGTCAGGAATCACGCGCGTCTTCTCGACGCATCCATGGACCATACACCCGCACATGTTCTGCACTCGTGGTGTCCTCGTCAACACGGTTTTTTTCACATTCCCTCCTCCTTCAGGGCCTTCAGCGATGTTGGCATAAAACCTTCGGCGACCACTGCCCCCCCCCCCGCCATCGGCGCTCTGCCGCCATGGGGGGCAGATGTGCCCCTCCTTGGCGCCCTTACGCCGCCAGGGAAATCGAACATCTCCGTGTCGTGGATGTGTTCCGACGTTGCGAAACCCATGCGGCATCGAGAACTACGAAGCCACCCCCAAAGGCACGAAGACAATGGCGCTTCGCGCATCGCGGCTTGGGGGTTGGAGAGGTGCCCTTCTTCCGGCCGGTGGCGCGACCGCGAGAGCAACCGCACATCGTTCATCGTGGGGCGCGGTACGCGAAGTTTGGCGACCCAGAAAAATCACGACCAGAGCCCTGGCCCAATCTTTCTGCTGCACCCGAATCGATACGTGATGGTCCCAGGGGCCCGAAGCAGGGCGAACACGCCCGGTTGAAAGCAAAACAGCAAGGCGCGGATTTCAGAGTCCTTCCCATCCTCCTCCTCCTCCTCCTCCTCCTCCTCCTCCTCCTCCTCCTCCTGTTCTTCCTCCTCCTCCTCCTCTTCCTCCTCCTCCTCCTCCTCCTGTTCCTCCTCCTCCTCCTCCTCCTCCTCCTCCTCCTCCTCCTCCTCCTCCTCCTCCTCCTCCTCCTCCCCCTCCCCCATGGGTTCCTAGTGGCCAGCGGCGGCAGCCAATGGAACTGGTTTGTAGCCTACCGCTTGCTTGCCCCTGCTCTGCACTGCGTGGGACTCATCGCGGTTGTTCTCTCTAGGTCGGGTCTTCTGGCATGTTGTTTGGAGGGCCGCCATGTGCCGCTTAGCGGTGCAGGGTCGGGTCTCCATCCTTCGTTGCTGGATGGCCCAGCGTTGCTCCCGACGTGTCCAATCCAATCCTCCTCTCTCCTCCTCCTCCTCCTGTCCCTCCTCCTCCTCCTCCTCCCCCTCCTCCTCCTCCTCAGCCTCTGCCTCCGCCTCCGCCTCCTCCTCCCCCCCCGCGCGCCAATCGGAGGCTACAGGCGCAGCTGGATCGCCACGAGCGCGCCTCCGACCGCGCCGTGGACCGCATCCAGGCGCGGCTGGACCGCCACGAGCGGGCCGCCGACCGGGCGGTGGCCGCGCTGGTCCTCCAGCTGTGGGGAGGGGGGCCGAGGGGAGGCCGTCGCCGCCGTCGTCGCCGTCGCCATTGCCGACGTCGCCGTCGCCGTCGCCGTCGTCGCCGCCGTCGTCGTCGTCGTCGCCATCGCCGAAGTCTTCGTCGTCGTCGTCAAAGTTGTCGCCGCCGCCACCGTCGCCGCCGCCGACGTCGCCGCCGCCGCCGTCGCCGCCGCCGCTGTCGTCGTCGTCGTCGTCGTTCCCGCCGTCCTCGCCGTCCTCGTCGCCGCTCTCGCCCTCGCTGCCGTGGTCTTGGCCGCGGGGCCCCCGGAGCCCCTCGTGTCGTGGAACAAATCACGACGGGAGGTGCTTGTTAATGGAGGATGACGATTGATAAATGACCAGGGGTCGTGTTCACGCGGCGGCGCCCGGGATGACGATTAGAAAAATCCCGCCGCGGGCTGGAACACTATTTTCTAATCGTTCTCCTCCAGTCAGGAAATTGTGCAGAAATAGCAGAAAACTATGTTTTTCATCGTTCTCTCCCATTTTGTTTATGAATCGTCATCCCGCGTTGCTTTCGGCCCCTGGGGTGTCGTCAGGGGTGAAAGAAGCTGGTCCTGGGAAAAGGGCCTGATCGTTCAAGGATGTTGTTTGGTTTTTGGCTAAGGTCGGCTCCCAGGGGCCCTTCCTCAACGGGGCCCCCGGGCCGTCAACAACACCGCTCGGGGTGAAAAACCGGCCCTGTGGAAGAGGTTGGGACTTCCGAGAACCACTCGGACCCCGATGCGGAATGCGTCTGAGTGCCGGGTCCCAAGGGAACTCTGTGGGAGTGGAGCAGGGAGGGATTCATTTTCGTGTTGGCAAGACTTGCATCCATGTCCACGGCGTCGTTTGTTTTTGGGGGCGGGATTCCAAAATTCTGGGACGTTGTCGATATGGGTAAAGATCTTTCGCCAGAGTCTAACCTTTTTACTCACATTCACTGCGCATCCCGCTTCTAGTGAAGGGAGTCAGAACATCCAAGACGCAGTGGATTCGTACGCAAATATTGCCCGCAATGCTGACACATCTGAGCAGGAACCTGCGTACGCATTCGCAACGCCTGCCCGAGCAGCGCACACGACGAGGCGCGGTGCTAGATCCTGGCCGAAGAGTCGGGCTGCAAGCCTCCTCGTGGCGGCCAGGGGTAACTTGATGCTGGCAGTAGTAATTAATACAAGCAAAAACATGATGCTGGCAGTGTCTGTCGACGGCCGTCTTTCCCCAGAGGCGGCGGAGGGCATCAAGGCCAAGGAGGTCGAGGGGGCCTCCGGCAGACGCCAGTGTGCCGTGACGGCGGTCCCTGGAAGCCGACCCAGGGAGTGTAGGCCCAGCGCCCTGACTTGATAGTCCTCGCCGCATCGGGTGGTGCGGTCACGACTCCTATTGGGAAGGCCGTCATTGGGTGCATCCTGATCGGCACACCTCGCGGGCTTGAGTTCCGCGAGCAAGCGAAGCCTTGGGAGGGGTGTCTGGCCTCCCTGGCAGTGCTCCCGAGTACTGCCACACACAAAATCGCCCTGCGGCGGATGGCTAAGCAAACCGCCAGGAGTGGTCATTTTGACCTTCGCAGCTCTTGTTCCGCGTGGTGCTGGATATGAGCATTGGCTGGGGAGGAGGACACTCGCAACCACCTGGAGGGCGCACCATCTGCGCATACGCGGGATGTGGGTGCACAGGCTGACAGGATGCTCCGCGAGAGCGCCCGGAAGGGAGTACACCACCCAGCACCTTTGCCCCCGCTCTGCCCCCCTCTCCACGTCGCGTTTGTGGTGGTGGTCTCCGTTCCTCCGAGCACGGTCAGGCGGTCTTGGCTCAGTGTGTCGCGCCGTCGGCTCTGGCCAACCACCCTGTGGCGCAACATGCGGGCAATAGTTATGTCCACATCCAGTGCGTCTTGGATTCTTGGGCTCTTTTCCCCAGAAACCGTAGACGCACTGGATATGGATTACGCTACCGAGGAGCCCCACATACTTGATTTAAATCTTATGTGTTTGCTTATGTATATTATATATATGCACAATCCTGCGTTCTGAGCCCTCTGAGCGACCGAGCTGAGAGACCACCCCCTGCGCACCCCCTGTGGTGTCGAGAAAGTGCCACGCTTGCTAGGTTTGCGCCAGTGTCGTGGATAGCGGCCGAGCCGAGAGACCACCCCCTGCGCACCCCGTGTGGCGTCGAGAAAGTGCCACGCCTGCTAGGCTTTGCGCCAGTGTCGTGGATAGCGGCCGAGCTGAGAGACCACCCCCTGCGCACCCCCTGTGGTGTCGAGAAAGTGCCACGCCTGCTAGGCTTTGCGCCAGTGTCGTGGATAGCGGCCGAACTGAGAGACCACCCCCTGCGCACCCCCTGTGGTGTCGAGAAAGTGCCACGCCTGCTAGGCTTTGCGCCAGTGTCGTGGATAGCGGCCGAACTGAGAGACCACCCCTGCGCACCCCCTGTGGTGTCGAGAAAGTGCCACGCCTGCTAGGCTTTGCGCCAGTGTCGTGGATAGCGGCCGAACTGAGAGACCACCCCCTGCGCACCCCCTGTGGTGTCGAGAAAGTGCCACGCCTGCTAGGCTTTGCGCCAGTGTCGTGGATAGCGGCCGAACTGAGAGACCACCCCCTGCGCACCCCCTGTGGTGTCGAGAAAGTGCCACGCCTGCTAGGCTTTGCGCCAGTGTCGTGGATAGCGGCCGAACTGAGAGACCACCCCCTGCGCACCCCCTGTGGTGTCGAGAAAGTGCCACGCCTGCTAGGTTTTGCGCCAGTGTCGTGGATAGCGGCCGAACTGAGAGACCACCCCCTGCGCACCCCCCTGTGGTGTCGAGAAAGTGCCACGCCTGCTAGGCTTTGCGCCAGTGCCACGAGCTGTGCTGTGCTGTGCTGAGCTGAGCCGTGCTGGGCTGTGCTGAGCTGTGCTGAGCTGTGCTGTGTGCTGAGCTGAGCTGAGCTGTGTGCTGTGCTGAGCTGAGCTGTGCTGTACTGTGCTGTGCTGTGATGTGCTGTGCTGTGCTGTGCTGTACGAAGGGTGAGGTGTGTCGCGGGTGCGGCGCGGCAGTGAAGAAAACCAGAACCCCACGAAACATGTGGGGAATAAAAATCTGGCCCCAAGAGGCTTGATTTCATCCATACCCAGTGCGCCTCGGCGTTGCGGCACCTCTTCCCAAAAAGTCCACGACGCTCTGGATATGGATATGAGTACTGCCCGCACAACACGCAAACACGTCCCGTCTCCCAGGCGTCAAGGCCCCGAGCCTCTCCCAGCCTCCCGCCCCCACGGAGCGGAGCGGCACGCTGTCGGCACGCAGGGCCGTGACGCCAGGGGCAGCGCCGCGACACGCCGAGCAGAAGCTCCCAACCGTACTACTGCCGCGCCTCCTCCTCCTCCTCCTCCTCCTCCTCCTCCTCCTCCTCCTCCTCCTCCTCCTCCTCCTCCCCCTCCTCCTCCTCCCCCTCCGCCTCCCCCTCCGCCTCCCCCTCCTTCCTCCTCCTCCTCCTCCTCCTCCTCCTCCTCCTCCTCCTCCTCCTCCTCCTCCTCCTCCTCCTCCTCCCCCTCCGCCCCCCCCCCCCCCGGAGCAGAGATGGCCAGGTCGAGCGTGTGGACCCCCTGCTCGGTGGCCGCGCCAGTGCCGCGTGGCTTGGAGCCGGCGGTGGCGCTTGCAGCTCCTCTCTCGAAGGTGAAGGAGAAAGGTGCATCAGCATAAGCTGTCGGAGATCCGCGCGGATTTCTTGGACCTGCGTTGAGGGCCCTCAGCCGGCACCTTCAGCGCCTCTCCTGGCGCGCTCTGCTCGCCAGGAAGGGGAGTCCCCAGCGCCAGGCCAAAGAAATCCTCGCGGAGCGCGGGAACTTCTGGTTACGTGTGCAGTTGTTGTACCTCTTTTTCCCTCTTTTCTCTTGGCTCTGCAGCAGTCGGGCCCTTTGTACAGTCAAGACGCTGACATCAGGACCATTTTGGGCTCAGGAGGGGCTCTGGGTCTTGGGTCGTTCCCTCGATATAGGTCGGGCGACCTCGTCGTGGCCGAGCCTCAACGTGGCCAGAAGAGCCCTGTCGTTCCTCATCCGGTGCTCCTTATGCTAGCACGATGACTGTAGGACATGGAGGAGGAGGAGGAGGAGGAGGAGGAGGAGGAGGAGATGCGACAGGAGACAGGAAGAGGAAGGGTGGACGAGGAGACGAGGAGGAGGTGGATGGGATCGGATGAGGACGATGAGGAGGAGGAGGAGGAGGAGGAGGAGGAGGAGGCGGAAAGCACGAAACACGAGGAGAATGAGGAGGAATGGTAAGGAGGATGAGGAGAAGTAGAAATGCCGCCGGGGTGGGGATCTCGCGGCAAGTCTCTCCTTCTCAGAGGCTGAGGCCGCGAGAGCAAGCTGTTTCCGAGTCATTTCTGCGGCACGTTTGCTCTCAGTAGTTTCCCGCAAGTTGGGTCGGCTCCACGGCTCCGGCGATGTGTGTGCTTCTTTCCTCCTCCTCCCCTCTTGCCTTCCCCTCCCTTCTCCCCATCTCCGCCGTTCATCCTTCCTTTCTTCCCCCCCCCCTTCCTCTCGTTTCCCCTCCTCTGACCTCCCTTCCCACTCCCTAGTCCCCTCGCGGGCACGCTCGGAGGGGAGGAGGAGGGAAAAGTAGGAGGAGGAGGAGAAGGAGGAGGAGGAGGAGGAGGAGGAGGAGAAAGAGGAGGGGTGGGAGAGGAAGGAGGAGGAGGAGGAGGAGGAGGAGGAGGATAATGAGGGGCGTTCACGACGGCGATGCCGGCGACGGCAGCGGCGATCGCGAGCAGCGACCGCGGCCGGCGGTCGCGACAGCGGCGGCGAAGGCGACGGCGACGGCGGCGAGGACGTGGGCGACCCGCGGCGGCGGGGGCGCTTTCGTGCGGCCCCCCCGGCAGCAGGGCGCGAGCTGGCCGACCCCGACGGCCCGGCAGACGACGCGGCCGACTCCTGGGGGGAGCCGGACACCCCGCGCTCGGGGCGCTCGGGGAGGCCCCGCGCGCGCGGGCGGCCTTCCGCGCGCGCGGGGGGAGGGAGGGAGGGAGGGAGGGAGGGGGAGGGAGGGAGGGAGGAGGAGGAGGAGGAGGAGGAGGAGGAGGAGGAGGAGGGGGAGGAGGAGGGGAAGCAGGAGGAGGAGGAGGAGGAGGAGGAGGAGGAGGAGGAGGACGATGGGGAGTTTGGGATGAGCGTGGCGCTGCGCCGGTCCTGGGCCGCCGCTGCGTGGGCGCGGCAGGCCCACCGCAGCCACAAGTTCTAACATTCCTTTGAGGTTGGCACGGGATGCTCTGGTTGAGACCGTCTTGGAAACAAACTTATACGTATATGTTATCATATGTATATCTATGTGTATATTTGCACTGCTGTAAGATCGCGTGTGTTGATGTAAGAGCGCTTATGGACATCAAGCCATGTCGTGGTGGGCCTGCAGGAATGCCGGGACGGTCGGCCCCTGCTCAGCACGTCCCCTTCCCAAGCGTCGACGCCCCGAGCCTCGGCCCGCCTCCCGCCCCACCAGGGAGCGACACCACCCGATCCGCTCTCCGAGGAGAGCGCGTCGCCGGGGCCGCCACGGCGGCAGCTGAGCAGTGGTCAAGGGCACAGCTTTGCCCAGTTGCGGCAGGTCGGGGAGGGATGCGCTGAGGGATGGAGGGAGGGGAGCAGGGCGGAAGCGGGAGGGGGAGTCAGCAGGGATCATGACTGAGGGACCCTTGCCCCGCGCCCCGCACACGTGCTTTCCGGGCGCGCGGCCTCAAGAGGGACCCGGCCGTCATGATGGCCGCCGGTCTCGGCCTCGCGGCCGGAGTATGCCTGCACGGACGGACTCGGGGCTCCATAAACGGGGGTCAATGCAAACGGGGGCCAGTCAGAGCGCCAGATCTTGCAGGATCCTGCAGAGCCAAGGTTGCACTGACCCGGGCGTGGGTGCAGGAGCATGCAGGACCCTGCAGGATCTTGCAGGATCCTGCAAGGCCTGACTGACCCAGGTCTGCATTGATCCGGGTCAGGAGGTCCCCGACGGACCCCGTGCTGATCGTGCCAGTGGCCAGTGCGACCACGACGTTTGTGCTGCTGCCCTGGCACTCGGGGCGCGCGCCCTGCTGCGGGAGGGGAGAGCGCCGCTGCCGCGGAGTCTCACGCGCCCCGGGAGAGCGGCTGCTCGGGCATACCCCCCCCCCGGGGTGGCGCGCAGCCTCCGCCGCGGCGCACTCCGCCCGCGGGGCACAGCGGGTCCGCGGCGTTGGTCCGGCGCAGGTGCGGCGACACGCGCGGCTTCGTCTGACACCGCGGCTGCCCCATCGTTCGGAGAAGAAGAAGAAGAAGAAGAAGAAGAAGCAGCACAAACACGCTTGTATCCGCGCTGCCCCCCCCCCCCCCGACGGCGCCTCTGGCGCCGTCCCTTGCAGATCCAAGAACTCCGCGCGCAGCGCCAACAGTCGTGCGCGCCCCTGCCTCGGCCGTGGCCGCGCCGCAGGGTCCTCGATGCGGTCGATCCGACTCGATGCCGATGCTGGCCGGCCCGATCCGAGTCGATTCTGATGTTGACAGTGGAGGCCTCCTGGATGGGGTCGGAGTAGATGAGGTCGGCGGATCGTGCCGCATCGCCGATACATCGGCGATACATCGGCGATGCATCGGCGATGCATCGGCGACATCGGCGATGCATCGGCGACGCCAACGTGGAGAATAGCGGGACCCACATCGAGCCGCATCGCCGATGCATCGACGAGACGGCGCGATCTTCCGACATCTAGGAGGCGTAGAGTGTTCCGACGATCCGAGACGGCCCAATGCCTGCATGGCGCTGTTGTGCATCCTGGCGTAGCCGATCTGCTTCGATGTCGATCTCCGTCTCCGATCCGACTCAGATTCCGGTTTGAGCCAGTTTGCCGATTGGATGTTGATTGATGGTGCACCGCACGCGACCGTGGCGGTTGGCGCGGCACCCGATTTCTGTGATGCCCCGAAGAAGCTCCCGCAAACAGAGAGCAAGGCGCGAGACGGGTCCCGCCTCCGTGCAGAATCGGCGCCGCAGCGGGGGCAGTGGCGCCGTGTTTCGAGGTGCGCGTTCCCCAGTCCGTGGACGTGGATCTGGGGCGCGGGCGCCAGGTCCACAAGTCCGTAACCTTAAGTCGGGCCTGTCCCCTTACAGGGGGATTTTCGACAGAAAAAAAGAAATACACAAAAAATGCCTCAAAAAGGCCAAAACATATTTGAAACATCGTCCCCAGACTATGTGTGAACTATTGTTGTTGTTTGCCGTGTATTTCTTATTTTTCGTCGAACATCCCCCTGCAGTGGGACACGCCCGACTTAACCATAACCCGTGCGAGCGTGCGCCCGAATTCTGCGGGGTGGCCTCCTTTGCCCGGTCGGCGATCCGGGGTGCCACGGGCCGCCGGGGCGACGCGCCGCTGCCAGCGCGGCGGCGCGGCGAGTTCTCTTCGGCGGGCCCCCAAAGGCTCGAAGGGGAGGGCGTCGGCGCAGGCGCGAGGCGCAGCCGCGGGCGGGCAAAGCCTGCTTCTCTCGCGAGGGCGTCCTGGCCCGGTGCCCCCAGGCCTCGACCCGGACCCGGTTCGGCTCGGCGATTCTCTCCGAATCTCCCCCCTGCCGCTCGCGCAGGGGATCGTCGCACGGCGCCCTGGCCCCTTCCCCTGCTCCTGCTGCCGCCTCTCTTCCTCCTCCTCCCCCTCCTCCGTGCATGGGCACGGCCTCACCTGGCCCACTGCGGCCTCAGGAGCCTTGAGCGAGGAGCTCGCGCTGTGAACGAACACGCATCTCCCCTTGCCGTTCGCCCTGCGCTCCTGGCTTCCGCCCCCCTGCGCCACCTCACGCCTGCGGCCCCGCCGCCCCTGCCCGCATGCGCCTCCTCCCCGCCGCCCGCGCCGCCGCCCCCAGCCCCGGCGCCGGGCCCCATCCTGCAGACCGCGGGGCTCCTCCTGTGGCGAGGCGGCCGCTGCCGGGAAGG